TTCCTAGAGCTGAAGAACTAACCAGGAGGGAGAAGAAGGGTTTGAAGCAGGATTTTTATTGCCGCTAGAAAAGAATCAGGAAGCCAGGAAAGGCTTGGAGACGATTTGGACAAGTGGGGACATCAGAGTAAAGGTGAGGTTTGCTCAAGCAGATGAAAGGGACAGCACTGGGTAAAATCTTTGGAGGAGGAAATTCACTGCCCCGGGTTCAGGTGGAAACTCTTAGCTACAGACACTTATAAAACCTGCTGGCTTCGACACTGTTACAAGTATTAACTCATTAAAAGAGAACCTTCCAAACTAAGAATCCTGGGTTAGACCAGACAAGACAGCGAGACCAGGAATGTAGATCACAGCCATAGGTGGCAGTAATGCCATCCCAAAGAATTGGCATACAGGGTGAGTTTACCTGTTTAGAAATGAAGACTGTGCACCTGTGACTCGGCTCCTTGTCTGGGGTCTGTACGGTGAAGTTGGTGAGAAATGGCGGTGCACATCGCAGTCTAACTGGGGCCAGCAGCACACAGTGGTGGTTTGGAAAGGGCCATGGAAGGAGCATTTACACCACAGAAATCGGCAAACACTACAAATCAGAGCCCCTCCCCCCGACTCCCTACCGCCATTTCTGGCACATCAATCTAGAAGCACAGAATTTTTATGGGGTGCTGCTTAACCTATGTAAGGAATCTATCCAACAAGCCCTTCAGCACCTACTTCATCTAAGGTCCTGGGGACAAAGCAGTGAGCATGTTGTGGGCCCTGTCATCCTACAGTTAACAGTCACGGTGAGGGAGCAGCCGGAAACACTGTCAACAATGCAATGAATTCAAGTGTGAGTGCTGTCATGGAGGAGAAAGACTGGGTACAAAGCTGTCTCCTCTCTCCCTCTCATCCTGCAGCTCGGTTCTCCAGCATTTTTAATTGAGAAGCAAAGTGCAACTGCCCTGGCTATTTTCTCACCGCTCCCGCCTCCAGCCCAGGGTTTCCTTATCAATAATAGGTAACTTCTTCAACACTGCCAGGCGGGCCACTTCCCTTCCCAGGATCAGGAGAGGTTTTCGCCACAGGGGAGAAGGCCAATACCTCCAATACCTCACAAAGCCGCCCTCCTCCCCCACTCACACCTGGCCAGCCTCACTCCCTGCCACTCTTCTCCTCCCCAGGACATCGCAGTTTCCATGGGAACCCACTCACTTCAAAGGGGAATGCAGGAGACTGGAGGGAAGGAGGGAGAATGGAAAGCTGGATTAACCTCACCCTCTTGGCCCTGTTTCTGCGCAGCCAGCAACCTAATCCCCAGGTCTCAGAGAGCACCTGACACCTGACCACTGCTTGGTCATCTTGGGTGTTGGGGTGTTGTGGTCCTCCTGAAGTTTGAACTTTTGGGGGAGAAAATATCAGGGTTGAGTGGAGGCTGGGGAAGGAGAGAACTGAGCAGGGTCCAAACCTAGGGCCCACCCCCACCCCACTTGCCTCCCCTCCACGGACCCCCTCTCATCCTTGCTCCTGGGCCTCAAACACAATTAGCCGGGATGTGCATCCAATCATGGGATCTGTGTGGATTAGACTGCAATCATTAATCTGAGCGGGAGCTCCTGGTTGCCTTGCTGATTAGCCCAGATGATGCTCTGGTATGATCCAATTAAAGACAGGCTCTGCCCCCACCACTACCCCCAGCTTCCACATCAGAAGGGAACCAATACATTTCATTAACACATCCTCATACACAAATAAAACCTCGGCTACAGGCAAGCTCCCTCCTCTTTGTCACACTGCCCCTCTGCCTTGCAGCAGGGACAGGGAGGTGCCTGACCCACCTTCCTCTGTGGCTCCCAGAGGGGCCCTGTGACTGGGGCTTCCAAAGTCAGTGCCAAGACACTAATCTGAATGGAAAGGGTCTTGTTACATTTATTGACATGAAATGCAGACTCCCTGATGTGCTTTGGAGCAGCCAAGGATGCCCCAGGCAGACAAATCTAATTAAAATTACCTGACCCGACAGGAGGTCAGTCATCCCAGCAGTGGCTAGAGAGAGGGCAGCTGGTACTAATGGGAGAGGTGTGGTTGTGGGAACAACCCTGGGGCCTGGGCCAGGAGGACACAGGACGGAGGGCTGGGGAGCCTGGCATGGTGTAGATACATCAGCTCCAGCCAGTTCATGAGCCATGAGTCATGCTAGCCAGGCATATTTGCCTGGGAGTCCCTCCACTGCGGAGGCCGCATACAAACTCTGAGTCAGTGCTAAGGTCTGTGGTATGGTCGGTGGGCCCCTTGGGAGAGGGTAGGTTCAGGAGTGAAACTGAGCAAAAAAGTGTGGTTGAAGGAAGGTCTGAGCCGTTCTTCAAGGAACATTATGGTGGATGGCTCCCATGGGTGGGTGATCCACCTTTTCTGCAGCTGCCTGGGTAGCATGTGAGCCGAGGGTCTTGGGGAGGACCCTAAAGTCCATGGCTCCCACTGGCAGGACCAAGGAAGCCCATTTGCTTCGTGCCAGGTACAGGTGCTTAATGGGCTGTTTGGGTAATGCTTATCCAATCTACTGCTTTAATTCTACCATGAAACTGAAGCTCAGAGAGACAAGTGCTCAGCAGAAGCAGGACTCAAGACTAGATTTCCAGGAACTTTCAGGTGGTCTCTACGAATCAGTGATGGCGAACCCTAGAGCTTTCAGTGATACAAACATCCTGCTGTGGCATATGTACCATAGTTTCACCACCAGTGCTATAAAACCTGCAATAATCTACTTCTAGTCCCCACCCCTAGAAGTCTATGGGTCCTGGATCCTGGATCAGTCAAGTACACAGGGGGATCACCTGAGATCTTGTAAAAGTGTAGATCATGCACCCTGAATTCTGAGTGGGCCCTGAGATTCTGTTGTTTGGTTTTTTGTGGGGTTTTGTTGTTGTTTGTTTGTTTATTATTGTTGTTTGTTTGGTTTTGGTACTGAGGATCGAACTCATGACCTGTGCTTGCTAGGCAGGTGCTTGTGGAGATTCTGTATTTGTAATCAGTTCCTGCATGCTGCCGGTCCATGCGCCATCCTTTGAGTACCAGCAATCTATACACAGAGTCATGGGCTTGCATGCAAGTTGTAAGCCACTGGGCAGTTTTCAGAGGCTCCTTTGCTCTTCTCTTTCTCCTTAGGCTCCTCACAAAAGGCAAAAGCCCAGCATATGTGGTCCAGGTTAACTTTCAGGTGACTGCTCAGTCTCATGCATCACCTTACCCCACCCCTAACTGCTCTGACCACTGACCCTTCCCAGATACACCAGGTTCTCTTCTGCCTCTTTGCCCACCTGGCAGGGTCTCAGCCTTGTACGACCAGACTCAAATACTATCTCCTCCATGAAGTCTGCCCTTTTGGTCAGACTACACAGCATTGTTTATTTGCAGCTCTATTGGATGCTGGACACAAAGGGAAGGGCCCATGATTTCCTTCCTATCTTACCATCTGTCCTAGGAGCCAAGCACAGTGCATGCAATGTTAATAATAAGGGTTAATAAAAGAGTGTAAAGGAAGGAAGAGAGAGAGGACAGGAGGACATGTCCTACACTGGAGGAGGTTGGCTTGCCCTCCCTGAAGTTATCCGTGACAGATACAGAGGCCAGAGCCTGGAATTCTTTGGGGTCCAAGGCAGAGCTTATACCTGCAGACAGCTGGGCCTGGCCCATGCATTCATGGAATAGAGACCAGGCTCTGTGTTTTTTCCTTCTTGGGAATGCCAGGGTCCCTGGATTAAGTCACTGCTCTGGATTTCCCAACTGTTGATATTAGAGGTATTCAGCTCCTCTGAGTAACTAAAAACAATGCCAGTGATAATGACAATAGCAATAATAATTACCATAATTACCATAAAACATTGCCACTGGGGGGGTGGTGAGGGAGGGTAACCAGGGATCCATTTCCTATTTATTTGTCTTGGGTGTATCATGCCATGTGCTACTGGCATTTAATACAATATATACTTCACCAGGGTGAGCTGCAATTGGGGATGATGCCCTGGAACCTATGAACTCACAGAAGCAAAGGTGAGCAATGGTCCAGCCTCGACACTGAGTGCTGATGTGAGCATGAGATCTGCTAAGTATGGGCTCCCCATAAATAATGATGACTACAATTCCTGCTGGAGTCTTAATCAGGCCTGTTCTCAGATGACCACATCTTCTTCTCCAAATACATGCATCAGAACTAGAGATCATCAAGGCCAACAGACATTTCCCTGAGCTTCAGGTACCTCTCTGCAACACCCAGGACCCAGCCCTAGGTGCATAGGGCAGATGCAGAACAAGAGGAACAAGCTGCCATCCTGGGGGAGGGCAGGGGGGAGGGCAGAGGGGAGGACAGGGGAGAGGGCAGGGGGGGCTTACACGGTCACACACAATGCCGATTGATAAAGCACAGACTTTATGGATCAAAATGTGTCCAACAACCAGCTCATCAGATTTAACTGTAATGCTTAAAAAAAAAAAAATCATTCCCTTCCTGTAGCTTGACCTACTGAATTAGCATCTCTGAACATGGAGCTTGGGACTATGAGCTTTAATAAGCTCCCCCTGTGATTTGCACGCATGTGAAGTTTGTGTACTAAGTCCTGGTAGTTCCATCAGATGTCTGATACGTTGGTGGGCTTGTCATAGTGAAGGCGGCAGTGGGAGGCAGGACAAGGACAGGGTCGTGAGCAGCTGCTTTTGGCTGAGCTGAGGGTTCATCTCCTCACCTGAGACGGGAGGGGGTCTTGGTGGGAGACACTGCCCAGGTCTTCGTACCCCTCACTAGTCACTAGTCACTAGTCACTAGTCACTAGTCACTTCCAAGAAGCCAAAGTCAGCCCCCAGCGTGCACTGGGGATTTCTGGGTTGACTTGAGAGCGCTAGCGAGGCTAAGAGCAGCTGCTGGCCACGTGGCTGACGCACCCACCCTCTCTGCCATGGCCATCTCAAAAGGCTGAGCCGGGCCCAAGGTTCACTGGGGCTTCTGAACATTGTGGGGGGGCTCCTACCTGTACACAGCTCTCTTGTCAGCTTCCAGCTGGGCCTGGGGATCAATGGGAGCACTGGGCACAGGTGTGCTGGCAGTAGCTGATGGTGCGGAGATGTGAACAGCCTGGGCCTTGGAGGGAGGCTGGGCAGTGGCCGTCATCTGCAGAGAGAAGAAAAAAGAGGTGGCAGCTTATCTTGGCAGGCTCCCAAGTCGGGGGTGAGGCTGACGGTGTGCCAGGAAAAGAGTTGTGAGCGAGAAGAGATCTGTAGTGTACGATAAGCATCCATTTGTCCATGGGCCACAGTGGAGAGAAAAGCAAGCCTTTCTTCCAAGAGTGTTTTAGAAAACAATTTAGAGCCACTCCATCCTAGGTGATGTCCAGAACACTTTTAAAGAGATGATTCCTAATGTGGTGACCTCACCCCAGAAGTAGAGAAAAATACAAAGAGCCATTTAAATTATGCTCATGAGTCTTTTGGATGTCAGTAAGTTTGATTAGATGACTCCAGAGAGCAGGAAAGAAAGCAGCTGAGTCAGTTCTCATTTGGGCAAGGGTTAGTTATTCTCTAACGCAAGCCAAGAGCCAACAGTTCTAATGGTTTTAATTGATGACCGGATGGCTTTCCAAATCAGGTTCACCTGGCCATTTGAAGATAAGATTTAATGGACAATAGGCAGATTTTTCTTCTTGGACAGAACAGATATTTAGAGAAGTGGTGTTCATACTGTATTATGGGTTTTTGAAGGTGTCCTGAGGCTTTCAATTTTGTGTCAACCAGAGCAACTCTTTTTAATATTATATATTGGACTTTCTGTCTAAGGTTTCGTTGAAAGAAATGGTTTAGTAGCTTTAAAAGTTTTGAAAACCATGGTTATGGAATTTAATGCTTTCACATTTCCTTCAGTCACACAGATCCCTGGAACGGTGACATTCTTCCCGTTCTCTCACATCAACCTGTCCCTAGCATCCTGATAGCTCTTATCACGCTGTGCTGTTGGCCTAAATGTAGCTGTCTGTCTCCAGCTTGAAGGCCTTGTTCACCCTCTGTCCCCAGCACCCAGCTGGGCATGCTTAATAAAAATGATTGATGCTTAATAAATATATTTGTGGAGAAAATGAGTGAATGAATAGATGGATGGATGTGCCTCAAAGGGATCCGATATTTTACAGCTAGGATGCTCATAATAAAATCTAGGTCCCTGCCTTCTGTATAAAAATAAAAATTGTATTTCTGTGAGTATAAGCGCATCGTTGGTGTGTATCCCCATACAGGATGGAGTGTGTGTCTTGTTCTCTTCATTTATGTCTGCTCAGATGCCTCTCCTTCAGAGTAAATCTAGCTGCTCCGCCTCTAGCTTAATTTTTCTGCAGTGCTCACACCATAACCATATATATCCATTTGCCTATTTTTCCCACTTCAAACTAAAACTTAAGCTCAAGGTGATCTTATAACAGTTATATTCCTATGGCTCCAGATAATCTGGCAGGAGTTGGTGTTAAATAAACATTTGTCAAATCAATAAATGAGGGGCTGGGAATTTAGCTCAGTGGCACAAGCCCCTGCCTTGCAAGTGTGTGGTTATGAGTTCAATCCCTGGTACCGATAAAAAAGAAAAAGACAAAAAAAAAAATCAATGAATGAAGGAATGAAGGCTGATGAGCAAAGCTGAGAGCAAAAAAGAAACGTTTGGCTTTCCTGAGCATGTCACTTTTCTTAGGATTCTTCTTTGTCACTGAGTTGGGGGGCACCCTCAAGTCCAGGGTGTGAGAGGCACAGCAGAACATCATGTGCCTTGCGTCCACCAGGTCATTGCCCGAATCCTCTTATTTGCCTTTAAACTTGGGTGAACCCCTTAACTTTCTTAAGCGCCTATTTTTTTTTAATCAGGAAGCAAATTGGTGGCCTTTTAAGGTTCATGTATATAAGAAAAGTGCTATAAGAAAGAAGCACGGAACATGCCTGTAACCTCAGCTCTCAGGAGGCTGAGGCCAGGGGTTGCAAGTCTGACAACATCCTGGGCTCCTTAGGGGGACTCTGCCGTATCAAAGAAACCCAAAACCGAGATAGAGAAACAAGGTGGATTCAGAAACATGAGATTTTGGCCAGGCTGATCTGGGCCAGGCTGCTTCATTCACACACTCACCCGTGCACACAATGGGCCTTTTCTTCGGGTGCTCTGTAAGGCCCGCTAAGTACCAGGCTCTGTTGTAGGAAATACAATCACAGACGCAGTACCTGCTCCTGTGGAGCTCAGTTTGTGGCTTTGGCACGATTCCTCCCTGACAGATCAGGAAGATATAATGCAACTGACCTTGGAAAGCTGTCGCCCATGATATCCTTGTGGAAAACTTGGAGATAGGTGGCCTGCTGGGCACTGGATGCCTTAGAAAACTACACCAAAGGGAGTAAGGTTAGAGGACAGGTGTCGGCTTGGGGCAGTTTCTAGGAAAGTGCCACATGCTTTGTCTTTTGTCCTCTTCAACAGTTTTTCACCCGTGACTTAGAGGATAGTTAAAGAAATGCGCCACAAATTTATGAATGACATGCAACTGGGATCCAAAAGATCTTTACAGATTTTGGCAGTGTGCTAAACCTAATAAGATTAATGTTCACCTGGGAAGTTAAAATGGAACACTTCTAACATTGGGCCAAAAAAAAAAAAAAATCAGTAATGTTAAGTGAAGAAAGAGGGAGACATGGCTTGGCGGCAGGGTTTTAGTTGACAGCTCAATGTATGCAAAGTGTAGCATCTGCCCAGAAACAAAACAAAATGAGAGAGAGAGAGAGAGAGAGAGAGAGAGAGAGAGAGAGAACAAGCCCATGAGGGTAAATTAAACAGAAGCATGGCTCATGGGATGAAGAAGTTTCTGGCCCTGTCCTACTCTGATTAAGCAAGTATATGAAGACATGCTCAGAAAAGAGTTGGTCAGGATGGTGGAGGAATTCTGTAGTGCACCATAGAAGGCCTATTTGAAAGAGCCTAAAACCTTTAAGCAAGATTTGGGAGAAATGGGGAGAAATGAAAGCCCCCTTTAAGTGAGGGGATTAGATGGTATGACTTCTGGTCTAATTCCAAGCAATGCACTAAACTGGTAACAAGGAGACGTCTACATAACACCTTTCCGAGCCCTGGAATCTCCAAGGCTCAAGCGTGCGACTTGGAAAGGATGGAATCATTAGCTAGGTGGCCAGGTTAGGAGACATCTCCAATATCGACAAGCTGGGACGCAAACAGGGTGTTTTAACCATCACCAACCATAGCTTCAGCTTGGCAGGAGGCTCAGATTAGGTGATGTCCATAAAAGGGCTTTGGAACCTCTGTTGCTCAGTATCAGATTTCCAGAGTGTGCTCCTGCCATAAAGCAAGGCTCAGCTGTGTCCTCACAGTTCATCTGTGGATGAAGTGTCAGGGGATTGGTATACTGTGCCATGCCCACCAAATGCATTTCCTTGTGTCCTTGAAGGATCGGCAGGGGCTTCCACTAAGATGAGCCTCAGAAATAGAGAGGGATGTGGGGGTCTCTCCCTGTCTTTCTCCTAGCCCCTCCTAGAAAGGACTTCAGGGACAGATGCTAGAGGGCCTGCTGGGATAGAGAGGAATGTAAGCTAATAAAAACATAAATCAAAGGGTGTCTCTGGCATGCACCCCAACATGCTTGAGGCTGTTACTTGAGGGAGGAAGAGAGGAGCAGAGCTGGACTGAGGGGGGCGATGACTCAGATTTATGTAGCTCATGGGGACCAGTTCAGCAAACTCTGCATTTCTTCCAGATTTGAGGATGAATGTTTATCTCCAAATAGATTTCTTTTTCTAGCTAGAGACCTCCATTTCCCGAGCTGAAAGGACCTGCAGCTGTCCTGAGGGGGTGGGTGCTGCTGCAGGAGGAGGATGGAGGTAACCTGAGGTAAGTTTTGGAGGAGCACAGCCTTAAACAGAGTTGGGAGGACCTGGGTGGACCAGGACACGTGGGTCCAGGTCCAGGACCTGGGTGGAGCTGCCTTGTCATGGCCTGTGAAAGCCAACTGTTGAAATGTTCAGGAATTTTGTAAGATGGTTTATATCACATAGACATCTCACAATCAGCCATGGTAGGAACAAGGAAATTAGCAATGGTACAAACCTGGGTCTCCCTCTGCCTCTCCACCCCTCCCCTAGGAAGCCAGCTAGTTATTTATCAGTGCATCACTATTTCAGGGGTTGTCCCCCAAGTCACTTCCTTCCAGTCTCCTCAGTGTGACAGAGGAAGAAACCAGCCTCACATGGCCCATGAGACCACTTGGAACATTCCAGAACTGAGCATCCTGGAATCTGTACTTTCTCTAAGGAGACCTCAGAGTACTCTGGAGACCCTGCTTTGGTGGTTCACTGCAGACAGGCTGGGACGACAGCACTCATGCAAGAATGTTCCTTTTCAGGTAGGGGAAGCTAAGATGCAGGGGGGGATGGGCAGAATTGAGTGATGTCCCGAGAACCAACGAGGGGGCTCAGAAAAGCCCCACAGACTGGAAGCAGCTGGGGTGCAGGTCCAGAGTTTGATGCTCCTTTGCTGATTCTTAGTACACATTTTGGGGCCAGTTCTTTGACCTCTTCAGTTTCCTAATCTGCAGTTTCCTAATCTTTGTGGGGTTGTATTAATGGCCAGTGGACAGGGCACAGTGGCAGCCTGCTCCTGCCAGCCACGGTTCTGTGGTTTTGATCTCTCTCCTTAGCCTCAGGTCCTCCCTGGAGCTAAGATCCTGGGCCTGTGCCTCCACTGCTTTTCTTCCTTAGATACTAAAACCACAGGGCTTCTGTCTGTCATTTAGCAAGAATCAGCCCTCCCTGAAGCCTGGAGCTAAAGGGGCCCCCAAGGTTCTTGTTTTGTGACATCTTGAAATGAAGTTCTCTGTCCCTCCATCCTATTAGGAGTGCAACAAGTTGGGAGTTACTGTAGGATATACGGTAGGCACGCAATGTCTGGGGGCTGGACAGCCTGGTCTATCTGAATGAACAAGTAGAAGATATTCCCTGGAAGATGTAGGAGGGGGGCAGGAAGTAGCCCCTGGATATCTCTGCAGTCCCCCTAACTGGTACTTGAATGACCTTCAAGATGCCTCTTCTGTCAAGAATCATTCTTTTCTAGCTGTGTGGAGAACGGCCCCCTAGGTTCTGGCCAGC